AGGTGTTTGGGCAGGGTTATCGGGGGTGTGAGTCTGGGGGGTGTCTTTGGGGTAAGGTGTTTGGGTAGGGTTATCTGTGGTGTGTGTTTGGAAGGTGTGTATGGCATGGGTTATTTGGTCTGGGGTCTCTGTTTATTCGTCCTGTGTCTGTAATGTCCTCTAGTTCTTCAGGGTAACAGGACAGCAGAGGAGTGTTTGTGAGGGAGCCACAGATGCTGTTTAAATATATACAGTATAACACAGTGAAACCAAGATCTTCCAAGACAGAGTAACAGCTCAATGTGACCAGTGAGCCAGCTGACAGCTGACAGTTTGATCTGACTTAATCAGATCAATTATATTTCAATAACTTTAAAAGCCAACTCGCTTTTTTTGGTAGTTTTTTAATTCCAGTGGGAGCTATGGGGCACAACATGTCTCCATCTTCTTCTTAGAGTTGAGCTCTGTGTCCATTGACTTGTAAATGTTGAGAGCTCAAAAGACAGAATAGAAGTAATGATCCAGAGGGTGCCTGTAAATTAGCTGGCTTATTCAGACAACTGTATGGTGAAGATCATTGACCTTGAAGCAGTGGAAGAAGGGGGAAGGGGAACACAATCACACAATCCCCTAGGTGCCGGGGACAGTATGTGAGCTCAGTGGGGACCTACGTTTGTGTCCCTGCTGGTTTGTAAGGAGCACAACTGCAGGAAGGGCCCACTTGTGCTGTCTGTGAATGTGTTCCCTGTGGTGCTATCTGTACGTGACTGAGATATCACTGTTCCATGGTTCCATGATCTGACCAGCTCCTCCAGGCGCCCCCTGGGTTCTTCACTCAGACAGGCACTCTTGTCAGTATCTTCCATCACAGTGCAGACTGCACAGGGACCATAGGCCTGTTTTCTGTAGTCTAACGTTTGCTGCTCTTGGCAAACGTGGAGAAGAAAGTGACGACTCCTGGACTAATATACCTGTGAGAGAGAAGGCGGTGAAGGAAGAGTAGGAGAGGGTTACTGGGGGACAGTAATGGACAGGCAGACACGGAGATGGTGCAGGTCAGGTGACAACAGGGAGGAAGAGATAAAAGAGGGGCTTCAGAGGAGTATAGAGCTCTAGCTTTAGCTCAGCTAAAGACAGGACACAGTCTCCTGAGATGAGAGAGAGGGGGCAATGGAGAGGACCAAAAGATCAACATAAGAAAGATTAGAAACAGGAAATGACCATTTGGTTCATCTAGCTCACATGATAGCCAGTAGCCGATTGTTGTGAGAATCTCATCCAGCCATTTCTTGGAAGAAAAGGTCGATTATGGCTGTGTAGCTTGTTCCATACCCCCATAGCTCTTTGTGGTTAGTGACAGAGCACAGAGTATGGAGACAGAGGGAAGGGTAGTGTTCAGGAGTAACAGGAAGAGGGACTGTTCTGAGATAAGAGACAGAGGAGAAGAGTGTTGAGGAGAGAGGAGGGAAGAGGAGGACTGAGATGGCAGAGGAGGGTAGGAGAGGGTATTGATGGAGACAGAGGAGAGAAAGTCTTCAGGAGAGACAGGGAAAAGGGTAGAAGACAGCTTTAAGATTGGAGAAAGGAGGGGGGTGGGGAGATGCAGGGAGAGTGAGGCTGTGTGGAGAGTTGGACAGCTTCACAACATAGTCTCTACCTTCAGGAAAAGGAAATGGAGAAGCAGAGGCTCCTGTATCAACAAGCCAGACTGCACAACCGTGGAGCATCAGAGATGGTACTGCAGATGATCAGCGCCTGTAAAGGTACTTCAGCCGCTATTCTAACTGACTGTATTGTGTTAACTACTGACAACATGGTTCTTACTACAGGGTGTTAACTACAGACAGTACTGTTCTAACTGCACTGTTAACTACAGACAGCACTGTTCTAACTGCACTGTTAACTACAGACAGCACTGTTCTAACTGCACTGTTAACTACAGACAGTACTGTTCTAACTGCACTGCATTTACAACAACACACTGCACTGTGTGACACACATGTGCTCACCACACTACTTTTCTTCCTGCTCCAGGTGAAACTGGGATGATGGTGTCCTCCACTCTCAAGCTGGGTATCTCCATTCTCAACGGGGGGAACAATGAGGTGCAGCAGGTGAATGAGTCTTCTCTTTTCCCTCTCAGCCAACTACTTTGTTATTTCTGAATTATCCTTCAACCCAGTGATCTGTGTCAAACAAAGGGAAATGTGAGCAATCTCGATACTTCCGTCCTTTCAAAGCAAAGCTCTTCTTTTATCTGGTTTTCGTCATTGACAGGAAGAAACAAAGGAAAGTTCACTATAATTCCACCACAATAAATTACGGAATAGAAAGGTTCTGGTAGCATATCATTATGAATTTCTTCAGGAAAAGCTGTACAGTAGGGCTAGGTGTGTCGTAGGAATTTTTATTTCTGGCTAATGTGTCTGTCTGACCCCTGTGTAGAAAATGCTGGACTACCTGAAGGAGAAAAAGGAAGTTGGCTTTTTCCAGAGTGTCCAGGCACTCATGCAGACCTGCAGGTAAGTGTACTCATGGGACTATAAGGCTACAAATTGACACAGACTTGTCCAGTGATCTCTGGACTATAGGGTTACAATAGGACACAGACTGGACCAGTGATCTCTGGACTGTGTCATATTGTAAACCTAAAGTACAGAGATCACCAGTTCAGTCTGTGACATGTTGTAACCCTATAGTCCAGAGACCACTGGTGACAAAGCTGGTGGACTGTAGGGCTACAATATGATGCAGACTGGAGTAGTGATTTCTGCACTATAAGGTTAAAATGTGACTATAAGGTTAAAATCAGTTCAAACTAGATTAATCAGTGACTTATTAAATCTGACTAGGCACAATCTACAGTAATCATTTTATCTGTGTATGTATAATGGCTGTCTGTGAATGTACTGTATAAAACTCCCTGTGCTGTACTATTCTGTAGTGTGCAGTGCAGTACCTGACAGTGTTCTATGTGTCATCCTGTTGACAGTGTCCTGGACCTGAATGCTTTCGAGAGGCAGAACAAGGCAGAGGGGCTGGGCATGGTTTCAGAGGAAGGCACGAGTGAGTCTGGGCCACACACACTGGGGAGACGCAGGGTTTGGGTGGGTGAAAGGAGGCACTGACTCTTCCCGCACTTGTAGCAACACCAGGTCTCACTGAAGCTCAGGGCATTTTGTTACTGTGCCATTTTGTCCATGATGCGCATATCACCACAGCCGCTTCAGTTCCTGTGGGATCCTGTTAGCTGGGAATGAGCTACATGCTACATGCTGTTTCCTCATTTATCTCAGACTCTTTTGGGAGCTTAGTGACTTGCTTATTAAGATAGAGAGTTCATTCTTTGCCCTTCTCAATGTGGAATCTCATGAATTTCATCATCTCAGCTCACTGCCACAAACCAGGCTCTGTGGCAATGTGGAAGAGAAGAAAACAACATTGCGTTCTCAATAACATGTGCCTTGACCACCTGGAATACTACAGTTACAGGAAGGCACTGTCGTGTGATAAGCTGAGGA